ACCTTATGTTTTCTATGATTCCTTATTTATTTTAATAGCAGCAGAGTGTTTTACCTCCCCTGTCATTTTCAGTAGTTTCAAAGAAATAAACATCTTCCACAGATAGTAAATCTCAAAGCCCTTATCAACATGGGGAAATAAGTATTACCTCAGAGATACTTACCCTAGGATGGGATTATTGCTTAAAGGTGATAATATTGTTGAATAATCCTTCTATAAGTATTCTTCTATAAAGAGTCATTTTTAGAGGAAAAAAAGAAACAACAACATAAGAAAGCTGCAGGTATAAACCTTTATTTTTGCTGTTGGAACTGATACCTTAAGCTTTAATGTCTGTATTTCCACATAATATCAAAACTGATTCATGCCTGTGGTTTTAAATATTTTTTAATATGAAGAAATTAATTTAAATTTTTTCTTATTATTTAGAAGTAAAGAATGCAGCTAGATCAAGTTACCCAAAAGGTTCATATCAGTTCAAGAATGCAACTACTAATGCATTGATTGATGCCAAGTCCACTGAAGGAATCCCGGAACCTGTTCCACTTGTTAATAACCGTAAAGGGAGCCTCTTCCTCCCCAACAACCCCTCGCTGCTGCACCTTAACTTACTGAGTTCTGTTGAACAAGGAAAATCTACCTACTGTAGATTGCAAAGGGCACTCAGCTTGCCTGTAAAATACTGCTACCATTCCCAAAAGCCTGGGTTGAACCAAGATCTCCGTAGGTAGCCCAGTAGTTGGATGCATAAGGCAATACAGAATGGTTTGTGCATGGTTTTGCAGTCTGTTTTCCATGTGACTATGACATTACTAATGCTCTGTTAAGTGCTTACAGATGTGGGTTTCTCCAGATGTGGTGATTAATAAGTTAATCAAGATAGCTAGTCAACTAATGTTTCTGGGTGGTTTGTGCTTTACCTTTCAAAGGATTTAATTGCTTTGGAGCATTTACATGCAAGGCAGAATGAACTTACCAGGTATCCCAGTTCATGTGATGTTCAGTAAAATCAATATTATTTCAAATTTCAGCTCTTTTTGGTGTCTAAAAAAGCGTCTGTAAATTAGTGCAGCTAGTGACCTGGGAGAGGCAGTAAAGGAGACAGTGTTGTTTTAAAAATAGTTAGAAAATAACAAAGAAAAAAGTTATGAACTTGTGCACTGTTTTGGAAGACTTACCCTTTGTTTTTGCTTTAAAAATGAAATGAGGATAAAAGTCAAGTAATATGTTGCTTCAGATGTTCACATTATGGCTGTTAAAATTACCAGCACATCTTAAACCAATTCATGGAACATTGTCTGGAGGTTATGTCATTGAAATAATGAACACTCTTTACTCAAGAATAAGCAAACATGTTAAAACATCAGTGTAACTTTAAATTAAACTCCAGCATAAAATGGAGTGTCTGAAGCCTCATTAGACTTGCCTGACATTTTTTTAGCATTGAGTCTTCCTGAACTGCAAAACTGTTATTAGACAAGTGAGCTCTGGGTTGTTACAGCAGTACAATAAGTGTTATACTTAGGGATGTGTAAACAAGCTCTTGAATGTTATTAGAACTCAGAGGCTGAATTGAGTTCCAAATCTATAAAACTCTGTGTCCAATTCTTGAACTTCCAATTTTCATTAAACCGGTAAAAAAGTCTGTGTAACATAATATGGCTGTAGTATACAGCCATATTACAAATCCTGTACTATAAAGACATAAAAGATGGGGACTCATTAACAAAAATAAACATACAATATCCGAATTTATTTGTCATATATCACAGCCCCACTATGCCAATATGTTTTTCTTTCATAAGAACAAGCGAATTTAAGACTCCCTTTTAAATTAATGCAGACACAGAAACCATGAAACTAAAATATTTAATAACCTTACTAAAAATTTTGCTAGATCCACTTCTTTAAATAGGCAGGAAATTGATAGGAGTATCTAAAGGATAATAATTAAATACGTTTTATCCTACTTACTACTAAGAAACCACTTGTGAATTATCACTGCAACATTTTTGGGAACCAAGCCATATGTAATAGTGTCCATTAGATACAATTCACGTATTTCAGCTTCATGTGTTCCCTTCCCCCATTCCTATGGAGCTGTGTTGCTAAACTGCAGATGCCCTGTAAACTCTGTGCAGAATTTCAATGAAAAATAAAATTTGATTTTCTGTCATAAGATCATAGAATCTAGATCTACTTCCTCTGCTACAATGAGAATAAATGCCTTTCTTGGTTAAGCAACAAATTGAGATCCTCAGAAGGCTTTGCTAACAGGAATTAACTAGTGAGCCTCAGCAACCTTGGGCTTTGCAGGCACCTGGTGACAGTAACATAATTTGAATATGACAAGCACGGATCCAAAAAGGAAGCTTATTTATTGCAGATGTGGTACTGATACCAAGTGCAGACTGTTAGAAATGTACTTCTAGAAGTTGTTATTTTGGATGGTTACAAATAAGGCTTTGCTTTTAATTGGGCTGCAGGTTAGCATCTCCTGGCAGCACTGCAGAACATAAATGTTGGACCATATAGTACAAAAGCATCCTTATTGTATTAACTTTCAGAATTTGAAAGGATCAGGAAAGAGTCTTATTAGCTAGCTGAAAACCTGGAAGAATATTATTTTTTAATATTGTTTTCTCTTGTGCAGAGAAATATTTCTGGTTATAATATTATCTACAGTTCACTTGTGTTACTGTAAGATTTTTGCCTACAGTCCTGATCGATGTGTATCTTCCTTGAACTGCTAAAACTGTATAACAGCACACTTGTGGTGCCATACTGCATCTCTGGACAAACATTCTGTAACCCCATGGTAACAGATTCATTTGAGTGAAATTTAGAATTTTTACTCCCAAGAGAGTAAAACAGATCATTTGTTGTTTTCTGGAAGAAACATTTTGCATGATTCTTGTTCATTTGATCTTTTAAGTGGTGGAACTGAATATTTATATCCAATAAAAACAAGAGAGCACAGTGGATATCTTGAAAGCTATTGTCTGTGTGGAATAGCATGCAAATAACTTTTTGGTAGAGAAGTTTAAAACAAGACTAGGCCATTTCAAGAGAATAATTTGAAGAGGGTGTTCTGAAAAGCACAAACACTTGTGCTTTTTTGCAATCAGAGCTGCAAAGATATTACCAAAAAACCAATTCTGTTTATGTTCACTTCATGGTACATGTAGCTAAATACTGAAGTGATCTAGTTTAATATGTGCAAACTGTCACAGAAAGAAAATTTCAATTTGTCTATTTTTGAGAATTTTCTGTGGGCTTGTTTATTTCTCAGCCAAATTTGACTGAGAGGCATTTAACTAACCATCAATAAGCATTTACACTATAGGACTTTGATTTGGAAAAAGAAAGAAAAGTCAAATGAGAAGAAAATTCCTTTGTCTTTAGGGATGCTGCCTAAGAAGAGAAGAAACTTAGTGAATAAATCATTATTAGACAGTCAATGTTCTGATCTAAGTATTGTCTTTTACAGCACTCTTTGGCACATTTATTTTAGGATTAGCTTTGTTTGGTTGCTTTGGTTTGTTTTTTTCTCTTTGCAGAGCTTTCTTTGGTTGTGACTCCCTTGTTCTACATGATGCCAGGTCATCTAAAAGCAAAATCTGTCTTTTCAGGGCCCAGCCCTTTGGTCTTGACCAAGGCAAAATGAAGTTCCCTAGCAGGCTTGGGCAAACAGACAGAGGTGGTAGGCTGGAACACAGTCTGTAATAAAATAGTGTCAGAAGAGAGTTACAGCAAAAGACTATTGTTTAATTTCTTCACAGATAAGTCTGCTGCAGGTGACATATATCCCATTTTTGTTGTTTTTCTTATGTATCTTATTGCAAGTAATATTTTTTTCTCAACCTCTGCTTGTGCACTGCTCATGTGTACTAAGCTCTTTAAATATAGCAGCTACTATTACTACTACTGATGTCATTCCTTTTAGCTTTAAAGTAAAAGCTTCCTAGGCATCAGTTATATTATCTTCTAATTAATTTTTCAGTTAACAGTAGGATGGGAAAAAGTTTATTTTTTCTTCTTTGTACCAGAATAAAGTAGCATTAGTATGAACCTGAGAAAGCAGACATGAGTTTATTCCTTTTGATAGTACATGTAGAAGTTACATACAGATTATCAAGTGCAGTTACAATCTCAAAACTGTACAGATGGTGGTTAATTCTTATAGATGAGTTCTTAGGAAGCTGCACTTGTTTAAGCAATACATATTGTGACATAAGTTATCCAAGAGTAACTTATGACTGACAAAACTCTAAGTGATTTTCTATCTGGAAATCAATCTGTCCTTGAAAATGCACCTCATCCTCATTAAAAGATTGCATAACACATGCATTCTCTGTTATGCAGGTATTGTCTCCCCACTTCCATTCAACCTCATTCTGTTCACTCCTGTTAAAACTCCGTTTTGGGAGGAGAGTAGAGCGATGAGGTCTGACTTGTGCTGGAGATCTGTGCACAATGGCAGGCTGCATTCACATTCCCAACTAACTGAATCATTGAACATCAAGGCATTGAATATTTTACATCTCTTCATGAAGACTCTGTTGTTTGGCATGTGAGGAGCGAGAACCAACTGGTGTCTAGTTCATTAGCAAAAGCAGGCTGGCAGCTGTTATGTTGATATTGAAAATAGTACTTTATCTGTCTGGGAATACAGCAGAGCACTAATTCTATTTTTCTGTAGCGCAGATTAACTGATAATAACTCTAAGAATAACCCGAATGTGGTTCCCCCGCCTTTGTTTTTTGAAGTATGAAACCAATTTGAACACCTGTGTTCAAAACCCTGGTATTCTTCTCTGCTTCTCCTTCAAACCAATCTCTTCAACTAACATGTATTTGATTTTTATTACTGTTGGCCTATGTTAGCAATGAAGTATCAGTGCGTGAATGGACATAGAGTGTGTGTTCTTTGCTACTTCACTTGTATTTCATATTGCACTCAGAGCAGTACTTAATCTCATGAGTTCCTTATATTTCCAGTTGAAGATGAGCAGCCGTCGACACTATCACCCAAAAAAAAGCAGCGAAATGGAGGCATGCGAAATTCACCCAACTCCTCACCCAAACTGATGAGGTAAGACTGAAAAAAACTCATATCTTCATCTCCTTTCTTTCTTCCTTCTTCCTCTCCTCCCCCCACATCAAAAATAAGGGGAGGGGGTGAAAAAAAAAAGATTGTTAGATGGTTTCTGAAAGGCTGAAGTATTTATTCTGTCAGCTTGTCAGCAGATAATGATAGAGCTGAAAAAAAATTCTGTCATGAAAAACAGTTTGAAAAGCTGTTTGAAAAATACATAGGCTTTAAAGTCTTAGCTGTCACCCTGTCCTGTCCATGTGTAGTTCTTAAACAGCAGTGGCACTAATGATAGCACTAACCAATCAGGGGAACTCATGTGGTTAGTTTGCCTCAGGCAATTCTCTTTTTGTTGGATTCCCTCTGAGTACTGTTTTCTGTACTTAAGGCCATATGTGAGATGTATCATCACAATCAAAAATGAACCTGAATATTACCTTCCTTTTATCCTGTCGATTGAAATCAAATTTCTGTTAATTGATTTAGACTGATGAAAAAGTCTAATAATATATGTACTTGCCAAAGCAAAGTTCAAAACTAACGCAGTTTTAGTCAAGCTAAAAGCACATTAATTATGAAATACAGGGATTTTTAAGAGGGTAGTATATACTCCAAAAGTGGGTGATGAAAACAGAATCTTGTTAGTGATATTTTCCCCTGTTGCTATGTGTACATTATTTTACAATAGTACTCTTTATATAACTATGTAGTTTCCTTTTATAGGACAAATTACCTCTAAGACATTTGTTAAAGCTAGAACTGCAACAAGAAATTATAATCTATTAAAATATTATGTGATTTGCATTCTATCTCACTGTGCTTTGCCTTTTACCTGCTCAACTCAGTCAAAATTTGATCCTGTAGTGGATACAGAGTTTCCAACAAGGCTGTTCATGCTCTGTTTTTGCATATCCTATGTACCCAGGCTAGACCCTCAGTCCATAATTGTATCCATAAATACCATAGCAGAGATTTCCACTCTATGTGTATATTTATGTACACATACACAGAAAATGTAAACTTAATTTCATATATAAACAGATACATTCGTGGAATCTGAGATTTATGTGTGTATAACTGTCTGCTCACAGAGGTTAAGTGAAAAAAAAATGATACAAATATATAGTCCTTTCCATAAATAAAATTTCTTATCATTTTTGTTGGCAATGATTTCGTTCCTGTAATGATTCTGGATACAGGTAGGTGATATTTCTCTTTGTATTTCAGTCACTAGACTGGAATTTTCTTTGGGCAGTTACAGAAGCATCCATATTTGTTTATTGTTTCTGCAATATAGGGCATATTCAAGGACGTAACTTCCACAAATCGTCTTCATCTCTGTTTAGACTACAGAACCAAAAGTGAGATTGATTCACAGAGGGAAAATGCACCCAGCTGTGGCTTTTTTTTTTCCCTATTGACCATCTATTTCTGTAGAATGTGCCATTAAAAGTTCTCTGCCTTCCTGTTAGCTCAGCCTTGCCCATATGACACTGATTTACATGCTTGTTTACAGTTTATGAGGAAGAATAAAATGAGCATACTGGCAAACTTCTCATTTTTATAGTGCCAGTTGTCATGCTAGCATAGTTTTCAATTTACTTACCTTTGGACAGTCCTCTTATCTGGTGCTAATTGTTTTAACTGCTTAAAATTTAAACATGTGGAGATTCCCCCCCTCACCTTCTCCCAGATTCTAATTTTGGGGAAGTAGAAGTAAAAAGAAAGAGAAAGAGAGAGAGAGAGAGAGAAGGAGCTGAACACACTGTCCCTGTTTGCTATGTAAAGTATGCCTCATTTCTTTGATCTTGAGTAATAATAATTCTGGGGAGTTATACTGTTTTCATATGCTTCAAAGCTGTGTCAAAGTTTTGCTGCTTAAGGGTACTTCTTTATTCTATTGGCTCTTGGGTACTGAGATGACAGGTCCTCTGTACTAGGTGCAGGCTTTTTCAAGTCATAGCCTTCAGCAAAACATCAAATTACCAAATACAGGGTAACATACTTCTACACAAATGCCTTTCCTGTAGATATATTATACCATATATATTAAATACTTTAGTGTTACACGGTACATTTTATGTGCAATAGAAAGTGATGGTTTGAGGTAGCCTTAGGGGTACTTTTTTCCACAAGCAGAAAAAGCTAGTGTATACCGTATCAAGTATGGTTTTTACAGGACTTTCTGCCCGAAGGCCTTTGTAAATAAGTAATGATCAACAGATTGGCTGTGGGTTTTTGAAAAGCATGCCTGTGTCAGTTTGCATGATGGGGGAAGATTTTCAAAGTACAGCCTGCTTTCATTGCCTGCTGAAGAGGGACTGAGGGAGAGTAGTCGTCCTGAGCCTGAGCTGTCTGCTCAGTAGCACATCAGAATTGCTAAACACAGGTTGAGCAGCGAGTGGAGAACTTGCCAGGCTTCCAAATCCAGACATTGTTTTCTTCCTCATCTCTGTTGCTGCTAAATGTATTCTCCAGCCCAGTGTTGGCACCCTCAGCTTCTCCCCAGACCCAACCGTCTCTTCCTTTTACTCTTTATCTACACTGACTTAACTTTGGTCCAAGGTGCTAGAAAAGACAAAGTGGATTGAATCAGAAGAGAGCTCTGTTAAGATTTGTTTGTAATGGTCAAACTCTTTCTTCTCTCTGGAACAAAGGTGGACTGTATAATCTGCTATTTTGTATCCTTGTAAATTACAGAAAGTGACAGGTACTTGCTTTCCTGCCCAGAAATCTTTAGTGCATGTCAGCTAGAAGTACCCAAGAGGTAAATCAGCTAAAGCACTGTCATGTCTGTAGCTGATATTTATCTTTAGAAGGTTTTTTGTAAATTTGCTTTAAAAACTCCTTTTTCAAGTCAGTTTTGCCCCTGTCCCACCTGCCCAGAAATAGCTGGCTATTTTGCAAACTTTTTCTCAGCTGTGGTTTTAGACCCAGAGGATCTAGAAGGAGCCTGGAAGACAAGAAGTCTGGACTATGAAAACAAAAAATATGTGAAAAATTCATTAGTAAATTGAAATCCAAATTGTGACTTTTGAATCGTTCTGAGCAGCCTTACAGTTAAGATAATGTTGAAAATGCTGCATAGGTTTTAGATTCCCGCAGTGGTGGAGGGTATTATGCTATGAGAAAAAACTTTGACTTCTTGTATTGCTGGATTAGAACAGAGGATGGAAATGGTATCACAGGGATTCCTCATGACAAGTGGTCTGACCTGGTCGGAGAGTGGGAGTTCTGTAGATTTACTAACACATAAGTAGAAATCTGCATTAGCAAATATGAAATGGATAGATTGGAGACATCTTTTTAATGGTACCTTTTTAATGACTCTAAATTACAATATATTACTAACTGATATAAATAGAGAATTGACATACGAATGCTCTTTGTGTGCATCACAGATGGTCTAGACTCAAATTTAGGAAGTCACTGTTCTAACTGAATGCTGCATCACATCAAATGGCATGAGCAGCATCACACTGATGCAATACTAGAAGAGTCTAATCAATCAGAAACAAATCTTTCAAATTCCAACAATACCTACAAATGCAAATTAACCAGAAAAATACTCAGCATTGTCATGACTGCTTTTACCTGGTTTACATAAGCAAAAGTCTGTCCCATTAAAGGCACAAGGGCATGGATACTTTTTTAAAATAACTGAAACTCCAACAGGAAAAAATATACTCCTCCAGTTAAGATGTGAACACAAGGACACCCTATTACAGTAAAAAGTAAAATTTAAATAGGCAATGGAAGGAAAAGGAAGGAAGGCTGTGACTGGGAGAGTAATCACATATCAGGTATCCTTCATGAGGTGGAGAAGAAAAGTAGAAGTGATCAATGCCTCTGGTATCATGCAGCTGTATTAGTCCTTGTTCATAATCTCAGTTGCAGGTTCTGATGCGTGTTATTGATGAACAGCCACGTTAACTATGAGGAGGCTATGTTGCCTGAATATCAAATAGCAAAGCCAGTTTTTAAAAAAATGTGTCATTTTGGATTCAGAATGACCAGTAAAAATGTGAAAAGCCCTGGATATGAATCAAAAAAGCCACTTAAATGATTGTTGCTGAGCCTCAAGTCTGTACTTATTGCTTTGGTAGCTGCTACTGCCTGAGTGGAATACACTGACTTGAAGGAAATGTCAGCCCGGCCGAGTCAAACTACCTCTTAATGCAAGAACAAATAGCATATGACAGGGCCCAAGGGGCCTGAAGAGCAAACAAATAGTTTGTCCCTGTCCACTCTGGATGTAGTGGTGTAGTTGACATAGGCCTCTAGACAAGTAGCATACTCAGCAAAGGGTCATTATCATTAGTGTCCCTGATCACATAAGAATCAGAGGCATCAGAGGACACTGGGTTTTCAGTGTGTTGCCAAGGAGAATTTCATAAGCCTGAGGATTTTTTTTGATTGAGGATCTAAAATAATTCCCTACCAAACAATAAAACTTGCTCAGAAACTGTCAAGACCCAGCTAAATGACACAGAAAAACAAGTGAGCTCTTTGGCATACGTTTCCAGAAGCCTAATGAGATTATTTATCTGAAGTTGAGGAGGAAACCTCCTGTCTTTTTTCCTGAAGTTGTATATAATATTTTAAGTATATGAACAATGGCTGTGCACATTTATCTCCTCATCCACCCACTGAGCCACATACACTTAAATGTACATACACATTTCTGCTAGTGCCACTCAGCATGAATATGCATTGCCTCTGCCATTTTAGTGCTGCCCTTCCATGAAATGAAACTGTGAGCTTTCTCATAGAAACAAAGAAATGTGATGGCAGATCTAGGGAAGCATTTCTCAAGCCAAAACTGGTAAAATAAGTTGACTCTGATCATTTTCCATTGCTCCCTTAAACCAGACATGAAGGTAAGGTTTGAAAAAGTGAAAGCCCACTGATGAACTATAATAATGGTATATATTTATGTCCCTCAGCCTTGGAAGCTTCCATTTTGTACTTAAATTTATATTCAGACTTAATGCAGTGCT